AAGTACTCCCTGAAAGTGCTGAATACTGTTAAATATCTTGTACCCCTGATCTGTAGAATGGGGATAGCCTTGCAAAACCTAATGAAGTTCCACTGTGATGATTTTCTCATTATCTTTTTATTACACTTGTCACTAGAGCAGAGTTTGAAAATTTGGCAGTAGGTTTGGGATGAAGTTAGTTTAAGAAAATACTTCATAGTGCATCAGAAACAGAGCCTTTGAATAGTGAAATGCACTTACTGAGTAAGACAGGTGCTCTCCAGAAAAAGCGTGTGATTAGATAAGTAACTGTGGTATTACAGTGCATGACTGCAAGGCAGTGAAGAGATGCTAGCACTGAGTTAGCTGTGTTCATTGTGCTAAACTTTCCACGTCACATTTTTTGGGTAATGTGAATATAATCTGAAAAAAAGTCTGAGACAAGTGGCAACCTAACGACATTGATGCTTTGTCTGCACAGTCTGGCATGCAAACTGTTGATGCCAACCAGGAATTTTCTCCAAACGTTTTCTGTGTGGGCTCATGCCAGCGTGAAGCTCATTGTCTTTAGCAGGATGTGATTCAGATCATAATTTAACTCAGTCCCATTTCCACTTAAGTTTGAATTTAAAAGAGCTGTAAACAAGTTACAAGCCATAAAAATCGGGCTGACCTACTGAAATTGTAGGATTTTCAAGCGCTTGTAGGAGAAGTGACTGTCTCTTCCGTGTTTGAAGGTAGCTCCTACATCACAGGCATGGCTGCAGTCTGCCTAAAGAGTTAAAGTTATCAAATGTACAGGTGCATGAGTGACATTAGGTCATGGTGCTGTACTTTCCATGAAGTCTTTTCATGTTGTAATGAGAGCAGAGCTTCACTCTTGAAATTTTCCAGTCTATGGTGAGAGAAGGGGGAAAGCAGCGTGGCAGAGGGAGGCATCTAAGGACAGAACACTGTATTCTCATGCAGTTGTTGGACCACGTCCTGCCTTTCCCAGCAAGGGGCATTCGTTCACAAATTGTCTTTCAATATCCAGGAAAACACATAGCATATGTGCAGGTGTTTTTATAAGAGGTAATCTAAAATGTTTCTCACCTACTGATTTCTAGTGAACGGTAAATGCCTCCTGCTTTTGGATGAGAAGGATGGCAGTAACACAAGCGCATGCCCAGGTCTGCAGAGCTGGCAGTGCTGGCACAGGGTGACCTTGGTGGGACAGTGCTGAGGGGGACAGGCTGTGTCTGCTCTGGCCACAGCTGCTGTGGCACCCCCAGCCCGTCCTCCCACCAGTCCCAACAGCTGCCATGAGCTGCTGTGAAGTACCACCTAATTATAGCATTTTCTTGATCCTCTTGATCCCCTTCCGAGATTCCTGGTCCTACCCTTGGCCAAACTCGCCCCCCAAAGGCAAGGGCCCGTGAGGGTGTGACAGTGGCACCCCTGCTCTGCCATCCTTGGGGAGGAGGTGTTCCCTGGTGAGCAGTGGCTCTGGAGGTCTCTAAATGTCCCAATAAGTGTAACTGGTAAGCATTTAGGCTAGTTTCAGAGTGCAGTGTCAGGTATGCTCACAAATTCCATTAGTTCCTGGGGGAACTGGACGTGTGCACATAGGGTAATTGTTTCTAAAGCTAAAAATCATTCCCATTCACATCTTGCATTTTCCTTACCTGTGACGGTAAGAAATAAAAGATCACATAGAAAAGAATACTAGAGGTAAGTTTTTTAAGAAGTAGATGGTACTAGACTTTTACAGATGCCCAATATTCTGTGAGTTTGTACACAGCTCCCCTTTGGCTGCTGCATCCTGCATGGTGGTGATTACTGGAATAGTGTGGGGCTTTGGCCCTGGTTGTAGTTTCACCAGAAATTGCATTGCAGTGCCCTGAGCAAGCTCAGACAATAGACTCAAATGTTGTGTCCCTGAGGTAATTTTCTTAAATTTAAAAAACTTCCCGTCTGTATAAAGGCGTATCTTCCACATCACGCAGTGTCAGAGCAGTGGGAATGGCCTCTGCCTTCCAATACCCTTTCTTTGTGCGCTGTTTTTGCTGACAGGGAGCAGAGGGACAAAGAGGAGGTTGGGCAATGCCGCGGCTGTGCTGCAGGAGATGCACACAGATTTCCCAAGGTTTGCTTTGGGTGGCTGGAGGGGCTCCAGGGCAGGGTGAGCAGCGTGTCCCTGCAGGGCTCTGGGGCTGTGCTGGGGTGAGTCACTGCTTCCCACTCAGCAGCGCTTCGCTCTGATGGGGCTCCCTCGCACAACCCTCGCTCAGTCCCCGTGTTTAAGCCCTGGTAAAGAACCGCAAAAAAGCTCCACGCTGTTGGTCCAACTCCATGTTTGTGTTACTTCAGGGGATAGTGCACTTACAGAATAATCGGTTTGTCTTTCTCAGCTCCCCTGCAACCTTTTTAGATAAGTTGCTCTGAATTTCCTAATACCAGAAAAAACAAAACAAAACAAAAAAATCACGAAAGAAAGGTCTGAAAACAGAGCCCACTGAGATGCATTGGTTGTTGGAGTGCACAGAAGCAGAAAGAGAATTGGTGTCCCTGGTGCTGCTGCTTGCTGATTCAAACTCACTGAGATGTCTTGGCAAGGCTGCAGTGGAAGTCAGGGATTATTAGAGCCTTGCAGTTACAGAATGCAGGACAAAGCAGCAACACAAATTCAGAGGAACGCTGACATTTCAAAGCAGGAGACTGACACCCAAACAGGAGGCATTTAACAAAGGGCTAAGGTGCAACAGGTGGAACAGAATCCTGGAGTAAAATACTCAGCTGTTTACATCTGAGCTTTGGTTTAATTTTTCTTTAATGAGGGTCGACTGTTGGGATACAGTTTTGTTGTATTGGAGCCCTGCAGAACTTTATGGGTGGGAATGCCATGATCTGAGCAGGCTGGAGAAGCTGTTATGGTGGCATGTTCTCTGTCCTATTTGTCAGATTCTTGTGTGTCTCATTTGAGGTTTTTTTATCATTGAGTTTGTAAATATTTAACTTTCCCTGATTTTATTGGAACATGTAAAATTCTTGTTTGCATACAGTCAGTCTCATCAGTCTCACTCGTGATGCAGAAACAGAAGGTAAAATGGGCATCTCTGCTTTTCTGTTCTGCTTGTTTATGAATGAAGACCTTGTTGAAAAATGGCCAGCTCTGATATTAGGATTTATAATAATAAGAGATGCAAAAATTGCTTATGAAAAACTTGAAAGTGAGAACTTTAGTATGGATTTTGAGGCTGCCTCGTCATGTGTTGGAATATGCCTCAAATAAGAATCTTATAAAAGTTATAGAAGTAAGTCGTAGAAGTTCTTTAATTATCTACATAGTTCTATTTCAATATTAGAGATGAGGCAAGATATTGTTAAAGTTTGAGGCTCTGTGACTTCATGCACTGTATGCAAGAATTCTTATACTTGAAATATAAGAGTAAAGAGAATAAAAGCTAAATTAAAATAAAAATTTACAGTGATGGGAGAATAAATTTTAATTTATTAAATGTTTTAATCCCAGAGAGAAGCAATGGTGAGTGGTTTCATTGTGAATAATAACAAATACTCTAGAAGCTCTGAAGAAAGGAACTGACTCAGCAGTTTGAAGCTGAGTAACAATCATGTAAAAGTGTGATCTTCCATTTGAGAACTGTACATTAAATGCAAAATATTAAAAGAAAAAAATGGCTACAGACTGCATAAAGATGTCACATTTTTCTATTCTTTAAAAAATGGTCTAGGTTCTTTTCTTTTTTGACTTCCTGTAATTCACACTATTTTTGGTAATACCCAAGATGTGCATCTCAATATAGACTGAAACTTGGTTGTGGAATTGTTCTGGTGATGAGCTGGGTGTGGAGTGGTGACCGCAGTGGTGGCTGTGCCACTGGGCTCTGCAAAAGCAATGATAAGTGTAAGATGGAGCTCAGCAAAAATTTTAGGCTGATCTTTTATGAAAATTGAGTCAAAATGGTTTTCCAGACACAGAATGTTTAAATTTTTATGCCTCTTGATGTGTTCTTCTTAAAGACTTACCTGTTTGTGGCAAAAGAGCTGACAGAGGAGAGCCCACTGCAGTGCAGACAGAACCTGGTTAGCTGGCTGGGCTTGAAGCCAGGCAATCCCCTGATAGATAGGAGACTGTTGATTGCTTCAACACACTTCCTTCTTCTTTTCTTGTTTCAAATAGAATTACACGCTCATTCTGAAAATGCTTGTCCTGTTAAGTTTCTTACAAAACAGATGCATTTCAGTGTAAACTTTCAGTTGCAACAAAACCATAGTTGTTTTACCGCTGAATTCTGTGGCCAAAAATGTTTTGCAGGGATCATTGTAACTGTTACTTCACTGTGAAATTTATGTGGATTTGTGCATGACTCCACTGTTTTCGGGAGAATGCATGTCTATGAGAGTTTGCATACTGAAATGGTAGGTATGTTGTTAACTACATTGCAATAAAAACTCTTAGTGCCTTTACAGAGAAATTGGTGATTACGCATAAAGCTGTCATAAAGCTGTAATCTGCCTGCTTTGGTAGTGGGAATATTTGCTGGTATTCTTAGAGACATAGTTTTCATAATGTGGAAAGCAAGAAAGCAGTTGGATTTGGCAAGACAAATACTTGTCTCTTCAATATTCAGGAAAATTACCGTTGCTGAGTGAAGAATGGCCATACATTGTGTATTTAGAAAAAGACTGGTAGGACAAGAGTAAACAACTTTCAGACAATTAAATAATCTGAAGATTAGTGTGTATTACAAATTTTCAGTACAACAATAGAATTTTTCAATTGTTCAAGTAAAAGAAATTATTCAGCAGTAGAGCAAAAAGAAATTAGAACAGCAGGGGCAGAAGATCAGAAGAAAAAGTGAGCAAGCAGATGATAGATAATTTCAAGTGGGTGAGGGTGAGATGACAAGGGCAGATGTGGAATAAGAAAACCAAATAGGGTTTTCATGACCTTATGCTTAACTGTCTAAATTATATAGGAGATATTTTATGTTAAGCTTGTGTCTTTTCTTTCTCAGTCATATAGAAAAAATTACAACATGGCAAGATCCTCGAAAGCCGATGAACCAGCCGCTGAATCACGTTGGCCACCATCCTGCAGCCACGTCCACGCCGGCACCGCAGAGGAGCATGGCAATGTCTCAGCCAAATCTCAGTGAGTACTGGGTGGCATCGCTCTGGTGAAAACACAAAAGAGATACGAGAGACACCTTCTGATTTGTTTGTCAAAGTAACTTTTGCTTCAAGGAGGTAGCTCTGATTCTGCTGTCAGACCTAACAGTATGTTCTCCCCTTAATTTACTTAATTTTCCCCCCTGTAGAGTTGGCAGCAAGTGAATTTGTACTGTTTGAGGTGACGTTCTAACATCTTGTGATCTATTTTAGAGCCTCCGTGGCTTTTTGGCATAGTGCTAGACATAGAAAAATAAATTCTGTCTGTGCTTTCCTGTTCTGAGGTGGTATAAAACCCCCACAAGCCCTCCCTCTCATGTCCAGGCAGTTGGAGACCTTGTGCACTGCTAGTCCCACGTTTCTTCAGGTCAGAAGGAGTAGCTGGTTTGCTTGTCAGTTTGTTTATGATGTTGGGGCTTTTGCATAGTGGGGTTCTGCACTGTAAGCAACTTGCAAACTACTAAAAAGTCTTTGCAGTATGAGTTACCCACAAAATTCTTGTAACTGGTGTGGTTCCCTTGCTGTTTCTGTTTAGCACTTCAAGTGTAAATTTAATCGTCAACTTACATAAATCTGATATTGCCAGATTTAAGCCTTAGTGAAAATAAAGGCATTAAAACTCAAAAATTTTAAAGAAAATTCGTAAATGGAAGAAAACATTTTCACGTATGATTGAGAATTACAAATAATCCCTAATATTTCAATTCTGGAGTTTAACTTTTCTACTGCTCAAGAAGATGAGCTTACAGGCTCAAGATATCAAAAAGGGAGACTTTAAAACACATAGCAGTTTCTTGTTCTGGTTAATTTTTGGTAAGTTGATCTCATGATTTCTTGATTGTCCACTTGCAGCGTGGTTCATGAGTGCTGTCTCTTCACATGACAAGAAATCGCTGAACATTTGTCTGCTAACGATCACCAATAGAAGTAGTGCAATATTTACTTTGGTCTTAAATTTATAAGAAACACCTAGGACCTCTGAGGTAATTAGCTTCAGTTCTTTTCTCTACCTTTGTCTCATCAACTGCTTTGCTTGCATATATGCAGTGAGAGTTGGTTGCATTACAAGATTCAGTGGGCAGCAGCAAACCATAGTGTGAGAGTGATATCTGCAGAAGAAATTTCAAAAACATCTGAAAGGTTGGGGTGTCTGCGGAGTGTGGTGGCACATGGTGAAGCCAACAATTGTTCTGCTGTGGCTTCCGACCACAGCTGTGTGTGGGTCAGGCTGTTTATAGCAGGGCTGGAATGGCTGAAAGGTGAGAATGGGACAGCAGGGCTTTTGTTCATACCAGCTCCTCCACTTATGTTAGCATCTGTTGCATTGTCCCTAGTTAAAAAACAGCAGTACCCTAAATCAGGACAGTGTACAGAACATTTTCCCCCTCAGTTTATTAGTGGAAGTGAATGAAGGCCAAATCCTGGACTAAAACACATGTTTGCTGAATTTTAGAGGAGGATCTTTCTTGAGATTCAAAGGATTAGAAATAAAAGTCCATACCTAATGAAAAGTCTGTTCCTGAAGATATTTCATGTGCCCAATAAGGGTATTTCCACAGACTTCAAAATCTGTCCCATTAAATACAGTCTGTATTTCATTCAGTACCCTTCATATATATATATATTTATATATATATATATGTAAAATATGAGGTTCTACTTTTTGTGTAGGTTTATATGCAGTTCTTGGCGTAGTGGTTCAGATGTGTGATTGAATTTCCCACTAGAAATAGTATGTAAAAATCTGCTCAGTGTACATATTTATTTTGTCTGGAAAACATTCCATCAATATGTCTTGGTGAGCTTTTTCTCATTTTGATGGTTTTCAAAGGCACACTAAATGTGACACTATTTTACTAAAAAATATATCTTGCAAGATTTAATCTAGAAACTGTGTATATGCATGTGAATACACACAGAGGAATTACACAGAAAGATTGCAGTAATCTGCAGAGAGCGCTGCAGCCCCTGAATACTTGACATGGCAGTTTAAAATCCCTGTGACTGTTGTTTCCAGTGCTGCAGCAGAATGCCTCTGTTTTTAAATGGCCATGGCCAAAAGGCAGGGCCTGTGTGCTGCACAAATGAAGTCTGTGCCTCTGTCTTCTCTGTCTTTTGCCTTAGTGCTTTTTTTTTCTTTTTTTTTTTTTTTTTTTTTTGTATTGTAGGAACTAAAAGTTTTTCTTTTGAAGATGTGCCACCTAAAAGAAAAATATTTAAGTATTTCAGGTCCGCACACTGGTCTGCACTTCCAATTGCTAACACATGTGTTTTCCTTGTACTTCTTATGAAGAGGAGGAAAATATGTTTTGTTTTGTAAAGCTTGTTGCTTTGGTTTATAAACTTCTTTCAGCAATATTTGCTGGGAATTGTACAAAGGCACTTACAAACATTTTATCAAAGCACAGAGTGGGACTAAGTGATACCAAATCATAGTATGCCTGTGTTGGAGGCATACAAAAGCATATAGTGAAAGTTGGTTGAGGTTAGTAGTCATACTACAAAAAATCTGCTGTATTTTTCTAGCTTTTCTCTTACTATGGTTTTATGTTGCTTATTTATGAGCTGTAAGTGTACACTTCATTAGCATTAGTTTTCACACTAACATTTAAAGCGCTGCCTTTTAAATGTTATAGAACAAAGGCATCACGTGTGTTTTCCCTTGATGCATCTTGTTGAATTTACAGGAAAGTAATATATGCTAGGCAGGTTTCTGTGCTCATTTAAACACCGTGGCTAAATTCAGTGACATTTCATGAATGAAAAGGAATATTTGTCACACAGATTGAAAACATGTTCTTGTGGGTTAGCATATATTTAGACTTATTCATTTTACCATAATTGTTGTGCTAAGATGATTTGTATATGTATATTTGTAGATGTAAGGAAAGCACAGCATTAATAGGAATGTTTTCAGTGTGTGTTTTGTTGTTGGAAGCAAACGGCAAGTGATCAGTGTCAGACTAAAGACAAGCAGAAAAAGTGTATTTCTTGCATCTTCAGAAACTTCATTTACCGTGATGCCAATTGTGCAGAGATCCTGATTTTCTGTCCCTTCTGAAACAGAGTCTTTTCCAGCTGATTGAGGAGGTATTGCCTATCTCTTGCCAATCAGTTAATGCAGTAGAACCAAGGGCCTTGTGGAAGTGGAGGTCACTCTAAACCTTTGTTGTGGCTGCCAGGCTGAGGTCCCTGAGCAAGGAGAGCGATGTCCCCTGTGCCTGTGAGGGGCGAGGGCGGCTGCATTCCCCCAGGTGGGGTCACCCTGCTGCCCCAGCCTGAGCCCCTGCTGCCTTCATGGCATTCCCTGCTCTCCAGAGATGCTGCAGGGTGACTTTCCACCACATGTACCAACATTTAGAGGAAAAAATAGGTCCTTACAGGAGCTTCTTTTGCAAGATTTTTTTAATTAAATGCTACTTGTTTTGTAGTCTTTCTCTATTCTACATTAAGCAACACTCAAAACCATTGTTATTTCCATCCTTCTCCCTTCAAAGTGTTTTAAACAGATTTCTTTTGTGATTGTACTCTTCATTCAGTGTGTAAACACAATCTGGTCTTCATTTAAATATTTTCCAAATTTAACAATTTGCAACTTATTTTTCCGTAAAATAATGAACCCCTCTAATAGTATTTACATTTTCTGCATGAGTTAGCTTGCATTTATATGTGAGTTCCTTAAAAAGCTCATACAAAAAGAACATCCTATCTGCAAAAAACCTCAGAAGACTTCTTGCCCACCCTGTGGCACAGCTGGGTGTGGGATTTGGGCCTTGGAGCAAATAGCAGTGGCAGGCTGCAAGGCACAGTTACTCTGCGTCCCGTGTGAGCGACAGAAATGTGTGTTAAGGGGTGCCCAGGGTTTGCTGGTTTGAGAGATCTGGGCACTGCCACTTTGTGAAAGGCCTCTGAGTTTGTTTGGGTGTGGATAGGGGGATTTCAGTTTATCTAGCCGTGGTTAAAAGTGGTGTTTGGTCTAACTCAAGCTGCCAAGGCCCAGCCAGGTGGGGTGTCCCTGATGCTCCCTACGGCCACCACTGTCCCCTTTGCCTTTCCTCACAGTGGCCACTCCTGCAGCAGCAATTACAGACAGGTGTGCCTGGTTTTACTCCTTCTGGTACAAAAGAGAACCTGTGTGATTCATTAGACTGTGCACAGAGATGGGATTGATGGGCAGAAAGGGTTTTAAATGCTGTAGTTACTGATGACCTGGCTGTCAGGGAGGGAGCTCAGGAGCAAGCCGTGTTCGTGTGGATCTTCTGCTTAGAGCTGAGCCATCTTCTGTTACCCTCTCTGTTTTCTCCCTTGCAACGTCTTGTTTTCCAGGTGAGTTTGTACCAGATGGTCTTTCAAGGTCCCTGTTGACTGAGGCTGTTCTGCAGTGATGGTTGATGTATAGTATCTGTTGGCCCAGATAAGGCTGCCTTCAGAAAATGTACCTGGATCACTCTTAATTCTGTACACTGACATAGCAACTTATAAATATGTATTCTCTTAGGTTCTGCCAGAATTAATTCATTAATATGCACATTTACAGGGAAAAAAATCATAAATAGTGTTACAGTTCCTGACATTTTCAGTGTTCCTGTACTCTATATCTGGGGTAAATTGTATTACTTTGTCTCTGTGCTACTGGTTTATCAGCTGTCTGCTAGTCACATCCTCAAGAAGATTTGATAAGAACCCCATTAGTGGACTCATTCAGGTGTACTGAATGCAGGGACAGTTGCTGGGTGATCAGTATTAATGCTGTGAGCTCACAGAGGTGGAGATGCCTGTTCTGAGGGAAGGCCTTCTTTCCTGGCTGAGTTTCCACACACGGCTGAGGCCTTGCACAAGTTGTGGTTGTGTCCATCGTGGAATAGCTTAGCTGGGAAAGGGCCTTGCAAGGGCTCCAACCCAGCCTCTGCTGAAAGCAGGGTCAGTGGTGGGACCAGAGCAGAAGCTTGGGACTTTGTGCACACAGGTGTAGAAATCCTTTGG